ACCCAGAGCTGCCAAACAGAATATAAGTCTTCCCATTGGCATTCCAGGACTTCAGATATAGCAACGAGAGAGAAACTGACCACATCTGGGCAATGTGGGAACCCCTGAAAGTCCAGATTTATTGTTTGGAATACAATATGATGACCAGCAGTACAGGAGTGGGAGTGAGATTCATCTCAACTCATATCTAACATGCTGCTAAACTGAAGGCACTTCAGTTGAAATGTCCTTCAGGAGAAGAGTTTTCCTCAGCTCCCTCTCTAGTAAATGAAGGAACAATGTTGCTCTGGAACCTCTGAAATAGTGTCTTTCTCGCCATTATTTCTCACAAGAGTTGAGTGAGACTCAAGCAACACTTGACCCACCATTCTGGTCTACACTGGTCTTCACTACAGCATAGACCTCATCAGTTCATTATTCTTTGAACAGAAGACATGGATTGTGGGGACCGCCACATCATCTCTTGGATGTTTTTAGCACAGGAATCTCCACCAGAGCTGTTCACTCAAGCTTTTTGTGTGGACACCAGCCATAAATAGCCCTTTTCAGTCAACTCCATCACGACGAGTTCCACAGAACAAGTTAATTGTGTCCTGCAAGTCCTTTGGTCTTTCCACCTATTCTCAGGGGAGTCAGGAGGTGTAGGCAAAGTCAGGAGGTACATTGTAAATGTACTTCGTTCTTATTTAGACCATTCTCTATAAAAAGCATTTTCACTGACAGACAATCCATGGGGACCCTTGGTAAACTGTTCCTGTGAATCATCTCTGAGGTTAAAAATGTGCATCTTGTTTCCAGGCTGAATTTGTCTGGCTTCAGCTTGCGCATCTTGTTGTGTCATTGCTTGTTAAACTGAAGAGTCCCATAATACCAGATTCCCTTCTTCATGGAAGTACTTTCACTGCAGATCCTTGAACTCACAGCACCAACATCTGCAAGGAGTGGTATGGCACAAAAGAAAAAGAAGAAGAGACGTGGCACATATTGCTCCTCTCCCTCAGGCTCTTCCATGGGATACCAAGGAGCAAAGAAGGTAAAATAAGCTTTTCCTCCTTCTATTTTTGTGTCCTGTTGAAAACACAGCAATAATCCAAGAATTTTCAATGTCTTCCTGGAAAATCATGTTCAGATGTCCACAAAGACCCGGTGGTTTTCAGAGCTGCTGCATTCCAAAACAGGATGTCCCCTGACTCTAAGTTTCTCAACAAAGATATCTAGTATCTTTGTGAATGTAGGCCTGAATGTAAGCAGAAGGACTGCCTACATTCTTCTCCTGTGGAGATCATGATGTGTACCACAAGCAGGACTGCACTGAAAATGAGGCCTAAATACATAAATGCATAAGTACATAAATATTGCTACATCCAGCTAAAATCCACAAAGTCTCTAGTGCCAAAACTGTGACCCATTCCTTACCATCACATGCCAGGACTCTTCTCTGGAGCATCCTATGTTATTCACTCTATTAGAGGGGTAAATAGCTCATTCTACATAGAAAAGCAGCTTGTTACCACTATCTATGTAAAACTATGGTTATATTGGACCCAGATAAACAAACAAACAAAAAATATGGTTCTCAAATGAAAGAGATGATGATACAGCCCTGAAGCCCAGTGATTGCATTACTTCCACAGGCAACAACCTTTTTTTTGAGTTTGCAAGGCCTCAGGGATGAGGCTTGGTAGCTTGCTGTATCTGAGCTTGTCTGAGTCATCTGTACTTGCCCAGAGATTTATTTTTACCTTATTTAGCTGTAACAGCATTTTTTTTCTCTAAATGACTAGGTTGCTATGGTTAATTTGCTTTCCTTTTGGTGCAGCTTTCTGGTAACATAACTTAAGTTTTCTCAGTGAAATGTAAAGTCCTCGTTCCTCAAATCACCTTCCCAAGCCCATCAGGAGCTTAGCTTCATGCATTTTCAGTCTTTTATACCCATGATTTATACTTAGAATGCCCATAACTGCAGTGCTATTTTCAGTGGTGTTCACAGAGATGACACCATGATATAATAATCTGTATTCTGATGTATTTCATTTTTAAATGCTCCTTGATGTTATACCTTTACAATGTTCTGGGATATAGCTTCATTGCTTATCAACAAATACAGGGTATGGACAAGGTAGGGGGATGATGGTAATTCATTTTTGAGAAAGAGAAATTAATTTTCTGCTTTTCACTGTTTGCAGTGAAAAAAAAAAACAAGGGACGCAGGCTATCTTCAGTTTATACTAGACCATACTCATTCATATCATGAGCAGAATTGCTGCAATATCTTTGATGTCAGTGAATGGGAAAATGTCTGATAGTTTTTCTAGTCCTGACAGTCAGGCTAGATGATAGTCTGCCTATGTCCTAATAAAACCTTCCATTTATAAGAATGCAAAATAAATGGGGGCTTTCTTGTAATTTGCTTGGAGGTAGAACATAAGATAGAGTTCTTCACAAGTGCCTAGGAACAGGGATGCTGATCGTAGAATCCTAGAATCATAGAATGCTTAAGGTTGAAAGGGACCTCTAGAGGTCAGCTACAGGCACACACAGGGTCACCTAGAGCACCTTGCACAGGATTGCGTCCAAGCGGGTTTTAAAGATCTCCAAAGAAGGAGACTGCACAACCTCTCTTGGCAACTTGTTCCAGTGCTCTGTCACCTTCACTGTTAAGAAATTTTTCCTTAAGTTCCTGTGGAACTTTTGATGCTTCAGTTTCTGGACGTTTCCTCTAGTTCTGTCAGTGGCCACCACTGAAAAGAGGCCAGCACCATCCTCCTCACTCCCTCCCTTTAGTTACTTATATACACTGATTAGATCCCCTCTCAGCCTTCTCTTCTCTAGGCTGAACAGGCCCAGCTCCCTCAGTCTCTCCTCATAGGGCAGATGTTCCAGGCCCCTGATCATCCTCGTAGCCCTGCGCTGGACTCTCTCCAGCAGCTCCACATCCCTCTTGTACTGTGGAGCCCAGAACTGGACACAGTACTCCAGATGCGGCCTCACCAGGGCTGAGTAGAGGGGCAGGATCACCTCTTGCTGAGGGAGCACTCTGTGTCTTCATCCAGGTCATTGATTAATAAATTGAACAGGACTGGACTGAGGACAGACCCCTGGGGGACACCGCTAGCTACAGGGCTCCAACTAGACACTGCACCGCTGATCACCACCCTCTGAGCTCTGCCATCCAGGCAATTCCTAATCCACCTCACTGTGCACTCATCTATCACACATTTCTGGGGCTTGCCCAGGAGGATGTTGTGAGGGACAGTGTCAAAAGCCTTGGTGAAGTTGAGATAGACAACATCCACCACTCTCCCCTCATCTACCCAGCTGGTCATTCCATCATAGAAGGCTATCAGGTTAGTCAAGCATGATTTCCCCTTGGTGAATCCATGCTGAATACTCTTGAGCACCTTCTTGTCCTCCATGTGCCTGGAGACAACGGCCAGTATGAGCTGTTCCATCACTTTTCCAGGGATGGAGGTGAGGCTCACTGGCCTGTAGTTGCCTGGGTCCTCCTTCTTGGCTTTTTTGAAGGCTGGTGTGACATTGGCTTAAGTGTATCTGTCCTAGTGTCCATGTATCTGGGCTGTAGCTTTGCTTTCAGGCATACCTCAATTTCTTTCTACCGTAGAAGAAATTTGTCAGGCATTACTGCCTTGGCAAAGGAAGACCTTAAATACTCCCTTTATTGGCGATCGTATTGAAAGATTATAAGGAGAGTGACAATTGAGGAAGAGGGCCACAAAGAACTGAACTTGAATGAGTAACATTAAAATCCAGAAGCCCTTAGCAATGCACAACAAATGATTATTCTCCTTTGGAGGACTGAAGCAAAGGTGGAAGCTTTTCCGCTGTATTCCAAATTCAGGTCAGGACTGGAAAAATAGATAACTTACCCAGTCTCCTCAGTAAGGGCAAGTTCATGGCAATGGAGTTGGTGGAAGCAGTTTTGATGAAAGGCCTGTACAGAAGTCTGAAGAGCAGAGAATTGAGGATGGCCAGAAGAAGGAGCAGTGCAGAAGAGCAGTACAGCAGTACAGTGTAGGCATCAAAAGCAAAATAAAGCCCAATGATAGAACATGGGACTGGGCAGTTCTGTGATCCAGTGTATTGTCTCACAGCAAACCCTCACCAGTACTGTAATGAAATGCTGTGGTGTGATTGCTCACAGTGGCAGAAGGGCTATGGGGGACCATCTTGTATATCTACTGCCAGGCTGACCATGGAAGCCAGATCATCCCACCAAATAACAGATATTAAGAGGTGGAGCTGGACTTAGAAAATAAATAAAATAAAATAAAATAAAATAAAATAAAATAAAATAAAATAAAATGAAGTCATAGGTTTCATCGTAGGTTGGGAATGTTTTAAGTAACTTCACCAGTCACCACAGACTTAATTCACCATTGTTTTTATTTGTGTCAGAAGGTAGAGCAAACAAAAGAGAGTTCAGCCTCCTTGGATCAAATCACTGGCATGGGCCATTTAGTCTTTTACTTCATATTTTGGAAGCAGAAAAGTGTGGCCCTAACCACTATCGCACCTAAGGAAGTTTAGACAATACAAATGCACAACACAAAACTGTGGGCTGGAGAGGACCCCTCACATAAAAATTAATTTCAAATGAGAAGACTGGTCAGTTCAGCTATTCTGATGGCCAACACCTGGGGGGAAAATGATCTAAGGTGGTGTAGGAGGCTGTTAGTTCTAGCACTTTACCTTTAAATATAACCTGTACAGAAGAATTTTAAGTTCAAAACCAGCCAGGCCATCCCAACAAAGGAACTCCAAAGTAAGTTTTGTGGGAGCTTTGGGCAAGTCAACCCAAAGATTAGTCAGGACTTCTTGAGCTTTACTTCTGTCTTGATCATGGCAGAAGGACAGAAACTGAAAATCCAATTACTGGAGACCACTGAAGGTTGTCCATAAGGCAACCAAATGGAAAGCTGGAGGGGTTATTTCTCCTCTTAGGCGGTTTCTTCAGTAAAAAAGACCTCCCCTACAGATCCTCACAGGCTAGTCCAGAAGAGGATGCAAAGTGAACTCACCAGTATCCCAACTGGTACAAGACCTATCCTCAAACTGGCAGCACCATCAATGTTGCACAAGTCAGTATAACAGCAAGAGACAGGACGCGTCATGCCGATGCCGTCCACGTCAGATGGGATGCAGATGGAAGCACACATCCTGGTGACAGTCGCAACTCCCACGAAGGGATACACTACAACATTGCAAAGCAAGACAGAAGGAACAATTAAAAATAGGAATAATGGAGGAGAAAACTTTCCATCCCTAGGAGAATCACTAGATACTCTCAACACTAAGGTCTCTTTTTTTGGGCACACATCTCTCATTTTTGTCAGATTATGTCCTTGCCCTGTATGTCAATAGTCAGTCTGATAAAGTCTTCCTGATTGCTCCAGAGAATTCAAGGGCATTTTTGCTTGCTTTCAGGTGATTAGAAGTTGTCCTTTCCACCATTCAGCGGTTTGCTCACCTCTACTGGTCTCTCTTCTCCACCCAGCTTTCATAAACAGTTTCAAAGTCAGAAGAATCATGTTAAACACATACCCACTGTGTGAGTCAGGCAAATGGTCTCTAGGTCCGTGACTCAAGCTGAGAAAACAACCTGAACATCAGAATTCAATCGGGTCAATATGCTTTCCCTAAACACACTCAAGGCTGAGTGGTGCCTATTAGCTTGTATTCAGTAAGTGCTCACTGTGGTGAAAGCTGTTTTCAGTGACAGCAGGGGACTGTTCTCTGACCCTTGAAAGCTCTCTTCCAAGCTTACTGTTTGTTGTTGTTGTTGTTGAGGAAATGCACTGTTTTTCACACCAGCAGTCTTACTGGTCAAACAGCAATTTTTGTTACAAATACGAAAAGAAAAAAAAATGCTTCCATTTTGCAAGCAGAGCAATGGGATAAAAGTATCTCCCAAGCTTAAGTCAAACTGAGCTGCTTATAAAGGCAAAGACTAGAAGGCTAAAATCCTCTTAGTCTTTTGCAGCATGGAAAGATGTTGCTGTCCGGTTTTGTTCCCCAAGTCTTCTCCTTTTGTGATACCTGGAAGCATTTCCCTGCTCTGCCAAAAATTTGAACAGACTCTGAGAGTCTCTTTCTTACCATCCTCCAGGGAATACATGGTTGTCTTGCACATGGTTTCGTTCTGGGTGCAGTTTTGGATCTTCAGGCACTTCCCACTGTTGGTAGGTTCATAGCAAGTGTAGCATTGCAAGGCTTTGGCTGCAAAAAGGAGCAACATTGGGTTTGGCATTAGTGTGATGCTGTCAACATCCCTCCAGACAGTTCTGCAAAAGGAATCTCTCAAAAATACTCATACTGAGGGCAGGAGTGGAATAATAGAAGTCATTTTTATGAAGGCGAATGGAAAATACAGTAGTGGGGTGCCAAAACCACATCCTTAGATGTGGATTCATCTCCCCTCATAACAAGTCAGGCATGAGAGAGTCAAAAGCAAGGGGTTCCAAAATACAGAGAAGTCCCATCAACACTAGGCTGCTGAATGTTTGGGGCAAAACATGCTCCTCCTACTCTTGCTTTTTTTACTAGGCTTTTTGGTAGTCTGGATATTTTTTGCAGATAGGTTTTAAGTAGAATATTTTTTAAGGGATTTAAGAAGGGAAGATTTTACTTAATTTTTGGTTATGCACCTTGGAACATGTGGTAAATATGAATATGCTGGAGTATTCCCACTCTGTATAACAAAAATGATGATAAAAAAAATAAGGCCTACTTTCAGAAAAATACAAAGGAGGAGCTGCTTGACACACCTGTTTCTCCCTTGCCACCCTGAGAGCAATTGGGTTACCTAAGACAGAGCTGACTATTCTACAGGATGGTTTGATGCCAAGCAGATGGGCATGGCAAAATGAAACATTTTAGTGCTTGAATTCTTTGAAGATCTAGATCCAGATAGCAACAGCCACGTAAGACATGCAGTGACCATGGAGAAGTCAAATTTTTCAGTTGTGCAATTTGCAAGATGTTTTTTCTTTTAATCATTATCACAGTTAGCTAATGGGCTCTGCTTCACATGTTAATGCCAAGTGTCTAAACATTTTGCTTGCCAACCAACCACACCCCCAACTTCTTTGTATCCGCCTTATTCCCATAGGAAAGTAAACATACATCTGGCTGGTTTACCCCAACTCTGCTTTCTTCCTTGTCTTTATGTTAACAGAGAGTTGGAAAGAGATTTGAATGCACATAGAAATAAGAGTTGAATGTCAGTTCAGCAAGGATGACAGTATCTGCTGACCCCACCATCAGCCCTTTCCCAAGTCTGGGAGATGTCGGGCATGAGATCATCCCAGAGAGGAGTTGTCTCCATCAAATTTGCTGAGCCATGAGAGCAAATAAAGCAATACCTTGTGCTAAGATGTGCTAGGATACTGGTTTAAAGAAAAGAATGTGTAAAAACTTATTTAAAAAAGAAGATTGTGGGCATAATAATAGATCATGTGGGAAAACAGGGGGCTGATGTGCTATAAAAAGAGGCTAGAAGACTTTGGTGCCCACTTCCCAAAATCCAGGCCAAGGTAGCTCATCCTGCCTTATCCCTCACCAGCTCTTAGATGCCCTTTATCAGGCATAATGATAAAGGTGGGCTGCAAAGGCTCCTGCAAGGCTGCAGGTGGCAATTTGCTCGTAGTTGTGCAGAACAACCTCAGCTTGAGTCCCCTGGTGCCTAAAGCATTTGGGGATGGAGAGATTAGAAAGAGAGTTGCTGAAGTCCACAGAGCCACAGAGCACTGTGGTGCAGTGAGGATTTCCAGAGCACTCCTGACCTCCCAAGATAACTTCAGGCTAATGATCTCAAGCCAAAAGAGTGATTTACTTTTTTTATCACACATCTCAAAGATTCACAGCTAACAGAAGCCTTTTTCTCTTTTTTTATTTTTTTTTATTTTTTTTTATTTTTTGGACCAGCTCTCTAGAGTACTTTGCTCTCTATACGTTCTTCCTGAGGAATCCAGCACTTGATCTAGGTCTTCAATTCCCACCCCAACCAGACACCTAAGCATCAGGCATTGCAGACATAATGAGACATTTTGGTACCATCACAGGCTGGCAGCTCCTCCTTCATTGCATATGGACCTGTCTGAAAAATCCTTCTCACTCCATCTGTGCAACAACCCTGATGACATCACTTTAAATCCCACCAAAATTCAAACTATTTCAGCAGTACTAAAGTAGGCTGTTACAACAGGAAGCAGAGCCAAGTAATCCACCTTATGCAAATAAAGACCACCTGCAACTTCATCCCAATGAGTAAGTCAGAAATAGTCTTTATATAAACAGATCCAGCCTTTAAACAGATCCAGCCTTTATTCAAAGATTGCATGATTATTCTACTTTCCTCATCCTGGTCTGATGTTTTGTTTGCAGTTTAATTGTACATCTGACAGTTATTAAATACAACTTCAGGGAGGAAACTTTGTCACTATTCTCGGATTTCTTGATATTCAACGCTGGACATATCAAAGCCAGTACCAAGGAGTATACACAAAGGATCCTTAAATAAATAAAGCATTGACCCCAGCATGTGCAAACCAGGTATTTTTATTGACCTTACTCAGACTTACAGGTTCAAACTTTGCTAAATATGTTTAATACTAACTATAGCCATAAGAATATCTTTTTTTAGACATGGAAAAGATGCCGAATAGAGAAGCTTTAAGCATACTATGTTGGAACGGAGTAATTTTCCTCCCTGCAAAGGAAACAGGGAAGAGACACTGTGTTTTGACACTTCAAGACATGGTGTATTTTAATCAAGCTCAGAAAAATCTATCTATCTGACCTATTTGTGAAGAGAGTTAGATAACAGACTTAGTGGTCCCTTCTCATTTTAAGAACTTACACATAGACATGTAGACGTGTGATAGATTAAAAATGAAATCACTGTATGAAACTGGACCAAGAGAAATTGGGAGGCATCTTTAAAGGAAGAGGGAAATGTAAGAGGCTAAGAATTTCTATTTAGTGACAGCACATCTTTTTAGGGCTGCTAAAAGCAAGAGGGTGATAAATTAGCTGAATTTCTTAGAGAAGATTTCACCAGCTTCACTTGTATATTGTCAGATCTTTCATCCTTCCCTTCTGACTGCCCCTCTAAAAAATGCCAAACTTTCACAGACTGTGTTCATGCACAGAAGAAAGCTTCAAGGATCATGGATATGTCACAGTTTTATCCCAGATATGTGGAGGTGAAAGTGCAGAAAGGCAAAATTTTGCTTTGCATTTTTCAAGTTTTGCGAGCATTTGCCTAACAAATCAGAGCATCTGTCCTGACCGTGCCTACCTGAATGGGGCAGGGTGATGGTATAGGACAGGAGAGAGAAACATGGCAGCATTGGGCCCCAGTAGGAGCTTCTGCCCCCCAATTGCTCAGCTCTTGTCAAGCTCTCACTAGATATGCTGGCAAAGCTACGCTGATGCACGAATCCTAGACCAAATTCGTGTTGCACCCTGTTGCTGCCCTGCTCTGTTCTTCCTTCTAGAGGATCCCTTCCCTTGTCTCAGGGAAATCTGACCACAGAGTCCTTGCTGTCCAGGCCATTAGTGATGTTCTTCTCTGAATTGCTGGCTCTCCTTTGAAAAATGAACGCACCAGAATAGATAGGACACAATAATGAAAGAAAATGTCTTCTGCTCTAATGACCACTCTGCTAAGCACAAGGCAACCATTGCTCTTTGCACAACACGAGCACCCAGAGGCTTTGAACTACCACTGATCAGAGCCATGACATGCATCTTAGAGATAACAGAAAAGTCAATACATCACACATACAGACACAAGAAGAGAAAGCTACTCTATCAGCTCTGAATTGAGTCTAGTTCCCCAAACAGAAGCTATTCTTCTAAAAAGTCCCCAAAGCTCTCCTTTTTTCTCTGCCCCTCTTGGCCTTCTTTGGCAGAATCTACTCTGCAGACCCAAAGATTTTAACCTGAGGCCAGAACTGCTCTGGGGAAGAAAATCATGTACAATAAATACATTATCTATCTTTTCTGATCCCAGAGCATCCAGTATTGTACGGTGTAGCAGCCTCTTGGAGAAATCATGCACTGCCCTTCTCTATCATGAATCTGAAACCCCTCTCTGTGGGTGGCTTCAGATGGGCGATCCTTACCTACTTCCTAATCTCAAACAAGCAGAGATAAAATGGGACGCTGCAACTGCTGGACCCGAAGAAAATGCATAGAGCATGCAAATATCCCAGTAAGATCCACAGCTTCTCTGGAGACCTGTATTTACCCTTTCCTGGAACACCCAGGCCAGCCTCAGCTCTGAGCTTGGGTTCAGCAATGTAAAAACTGTTCTTGATTAAAAAGCTCATCTGATGACAGCATTGATAGATGAGGGGAGTCTATGCCAGGATGTTCTGTCGTTTCACCATTAGAGGTTACAGCATCACTACCCACAGTGGGTTGCCTGGAATGTGGAAGTTCCCAGTTGCCTTGAGAAAGAAAATGCCCATGTCCTCAAGACCCACCACACCAGCTCTTATAGACCTGGTCATGGAAGAGAAGCAATTGAATTCCACTGGTGGAAAAGAAGGGATTAGGTATTTGTGCTACCCTGAGCAAATAGGTCTCATGGGGCTTGTTACCTTCCCCCTCACTCCAGAAGAGTCACCCCAAGATTGGCTTGCTGTTGGTCTTCCCACTCGATGGTGTGTTTCAAGGCCCCCTTTTCCAGTTAGATGGTAAGCTGCCCAGTAGGAACAGAAAGGAGACAGAAGAATGATCATGGCAGTGGGAAGATCTCTTCCTGTAGTGACAAACTCCAGCACAACATCGCAAATCCATTTGCAGATGAAGAAATCCTCCAAAACACTTCACCCTTAATGTTTTCACAGGTGGCCTGTTGAAATTGTCCTTGGCTCCACTCAGACTATAATGGACTAGAAAAATCAGCTCTGCAGTACCCGGGGCACCAGCTTTGCATCCCAGCCCTTATTTCTCACTTCTAGTGGCTGAATTTTCATAAACTATCTATGCAACATATAATTAAAGAGAGCCATTACACACAATACATTAAACAGGCTAGCATGCTTTGTCTTACAAGCAGAATAGCAAATAAATAAGACAGGAGTCAGATTAAGCAAGAAAATATGTAAAAAGTGAGAGTTGAAACTATCACTAAATAAATTATACCGTATAACAACATTCCATTTTGTAACACTTCCTAAAGAAGTAACGATCCTGGCTACCCCGCAATGACCCTTAACGTCCAAAAGTCTAGAAATAACCAAAGAGAGAACTTTGCCTAAAATCACTCAAAGAGAAAGACATGTCCTTCACTGGAAAAGCCCGTTCCATCACACTTCATCTCTTGCAGAATCAGAGGGGGACCTTACCGAAGCCCATACCAGCAACAGCGACCAACAGAAGAGCAAGAAACAGCCTCATCTTGCACGGACCCTTGTTGTCCACTCACTGGGCTTTCACTGCTCTTCACTACTGGCTTTATCAACACATCCCCTGGTGGCTTACCATATGCTGATTTTAACCCCAGATCCAATTTTACTGGAAAAACGAGTCTGAGCTATAAATGGACTGAAGGATATACAAAACTGGCCCCACCTCCAACCATTTGTTTCTTTTCATGTTCTTTGGAGAAGAAAATGAGGTTTGCATGGTGTACAATAGGTAAAGCTATTTAAACCAGGTTCCTTGTTTCTAGGCATGACGTGCAAAACAGAGATTAAATAATTCCACTGTTTCTGCCTTGCCCTGCAGCTTGTTGACATTTATTCTTTTATGTAGTGGTTAGGGAGAGAATATTGTTTTTAACTCATTTTCATAAGAAGTGTCTGTATCCATAAGCGGCAAAGGGCTAAATCCCATTGTATTTGAGATGGAAATTTCTATGATCTGTAGAGTCATAAAAAACTCCTGTGAGAAACAGAGGCCAGACCTTGAGAGAAAAGATGTTTGCCTGCCTCGGCTGAGCGATAAGGAGTACGGAGGCAGCTGCTCAGCCTGGTTCACAAACAGCCCACTCCGAAAACCAGTTGAAGCCAGCCGCTCGGCTGGGCTTGTGGACAGCTTAATCGCAGATGTCCTCCAAACTAGCTTTGGAGGTCAAACACCTGGAAATGAGGAAGAAGATGATGACGGCAGGACCCTCAAATTGAGGGCTGGGACCCCCCACTGGTGTGCGCGCCTGCGTACCCAGAGTGGAGAACTGTGCAACTCGAGGCGGAGTTCGTCCACCCCCTGGGCTGCCTCCTGGGTCGTGCTGACCCTACGTGCCAGGATGCACCGGCCCGGAGAGAGCAGGCTGGGAGAAGAAACTCCTGACTCTGAGGCCTACGCTGTCTCCGCAGGAGCCGGTCAGAAACTCTCTCCCTCTGATCTGCCAGCTCGAGAGGATGTTCGGGTCCAGTATCCCACCAGCAGGTATCACCTCATGAGTAGTTATCCATACTTTGCTTCTTTTATGTGTTTTCACCTGAATAAATTCTCGATTTAGTCACCTCGTTCTGCGTGATTATTGCTGAAACCCAAGCCCATCCGGAACACCCATGGGCTTTCCCCTCTGCATTTTCATCCCTCAACAGGACTTGAGTTTTATACTGGGAGAAGAGAAACAGAATTACAGAATGGTTGAAGTTGGAAGGGACCTCTAGAGATCATCTAGTCCAACCTCCCTGCTCCAGCTGGGACACCTGTGGCACAGGGTGGCATCCAGGTGGGTTTTGAAGATCTCCATAGAAGGAGATGCCACAACCTCTCTGGGCAGCCTGTTCCAGGGCTCTGTCACCCTCACAGGAAAGAGGTTCTTCCTCATATGGAGATGGGTGAAACACTGATGTCCAATCCTTTACTCAGTGGAAATGATACATTTGGGGGTTTTGGTGTTGCAATGCCTCTCCCCAAGCTTTAACTGTTTTGGGAGAGATGAAGGGAGTGGGAGCAACTTGCATTCCTTCCTCACAGGTCGTGGTAGCACACCCGGATGCACTGGGAAGGCAACAGGACCCAGACAGAGAAGATTAGGCCAAGAGGATCTCCCAAGCTCACTACCCTGAGAAATTCGGGGATAGTGGTGCTTGCAGAAGCAAGATGCTTCAGCTCCACACTGGGACATCCCTTACCAAGGGCCATGGCAAGCCAAAAACTTTCTTGCTTGCAAGAACACCTTGGTTTTCCTATCCCTGAACTCTGCTGTCCCAAACATCTGCTCCTTATGCCTGTGCCTCAAGTCTCTCCCTGTGTAAATTAACTTATCTTCTTCTAAGAGTGACATACACATTTTACTGTGGGATTGCAGCAACCTGTCAAGAAATACCTCTCCATGACTATGCCAGATGACCTCCCACCCCGCCTCCAGTTTTCATGAGGACAGAAAGGGAAATTCTGAAATGAAGATGTTCTTGGAGATACTCCCGCAGCCTTTGTTATCTGTTTCACCATCAGGAGGATCTTTGTTCAAAGTTAATATCACTCCAATTCTTGAAACAGCAAAGTAAAAGGTCTTCTGACATTCTCAAATAAAGAGCCCAGTCCTCATCTGTCATAAACTGGAGCTCCTATCATAGTCTCATGATTTTAACAAGTCCAGCCTCACTTAATAACAAGACTTCTGGGTGATCCACAACTCTCACAATTTGGGACCTGCTGTTTTTACGTTCACTTTGTAGTAGTCTTTATACTGCCTATGGAAATTCTACAGGTATTTCCAGCTCTTAATTATCTAAGGAAAGACATTTTGGTGTTCTCTTTGCTTGACCTTCTGCAGGCTCAGTGGGGATTTCTATTATCGTATTAAGAAAGGGCAGATATGCTGATTGTGCTTGTTTTGTTGTTACGAAAAGCATAACACTGAAAGGGTGTGGTTTCTGGTTTTCTGGTATTAAGTGGCCTTGAACAATGTGTGCCAGATGATTGGTTTCACATGCACTTCTGAAGTGTAATCTTCATTACCTTGCAGGATTC